ATTGTGCTGTGTATTACAAATCCTCGCTGCAGAGTCAACCTGTAGTTATAACACAGTATGAGGAATATATATATATATGAGGGTAGTGCATCTTTGTGTCGCGGCAACGGGTGCTGGGACACAGTGCAGCCTGTACATTTGAAGAACTGTCCCATGTGCGAATGGGAATTGCCGCAGTTTTAGAAGGAAGCAGCCCAAAATTCCATTTAGGAAACTTCTGCGTAACCTTAATAAGTGAAGTAATGATGAGGCTCATACTGCCAAAATTAAAAGGATATGTATCTCTATATAATTTCTGAAATATGTGTTCAGATTTTAAGGCAGCTCATTTGATTTAGAACCATCCTCAAGATGAAGTTAAAATTCAGCACCTTCAGGCTAATCTTGTGAATACTTAATCCCTGTGTCACGCGTACCGCTTTGAGTAGGTCTGCTGGTTATGAACGAGAGTCTTTGCGCACTTAATTGTGACCCCACTAATAAACGCTTATGGCATTGGGTCTGTAATAAGCGTAGCAGAGAGGTCATCTTACTAAAGTAAACACATCCGTCTTGGTTGAAACCACAGCACAGCACATTGTGTTGTCATTCTGTGCTAAGTAGAGTAGACATTGATTATATTCAGGGCTATCCGGCCACCATACACCTTTACTTTCTGAGCCAGCACTTAGTGTTCCCAGCACAGAATCCCTGCTTGGAAATCCCTCCTGGCCTTTGGGCTTCCAACCTTTTTAATGCAGTGAGATGGGTACCAGGTGGGAGATTCCTCTCTCCACCTTACCTGGCCACAGCATTTCTGTGCTAACAATACCAGGCGTTTGGTCAGCTGTGAACATGCTCCAAAGCCTCTACATCAACATGAGCAGAGTGGCAGTTTGAAGCCTTAGGGACCTGGCAGTGTCTTGTTGCGAGAGGAATTATTTGACTATTGGCCTTCTCATGCCACTCTAACACCAGCTTGCCGTTGTCTCCAAAGCGGCAGCAGAGTAGATAAGAGGCTGGTTGGAAACATCTCAAGGATGAGACAGTTGAGGCTTCCTTATTTATTTCTCTCCTAACTGCTGGCTACTTTTGCAAAAAAACTTCATGCAGCTTCATGCAAGCATCGTGGCTGTTCAAGTTGCTTCTTACGGAGTCTGCTGGAACTGTGGTGAGAAGGGGTCTGCACAAGTACTAAATTGCACAATCATTTGATGGGCTGCAATACCTCTTTGCAACAGGATGAGGGCCTCAGTTCTGTATGTCTGGGTAACTTAACAGAGATCTTAGACTTTGTTGTCTGTTTTTGTTGCTGTTTTCTTCTAAATAAGTACTAAAAGTAGAAAAATATTAGGCCATATTAAAACTCTAAGTGATGGGCTAGTAAATGCAGTTGGGATTTTATTAGGAAAATGGTAGATGATGTTAGTGTGTGTGAATAACTACAGCTGAAATCTACAATTGCAGATCATCACTGGCATAATATTTTGTCTGTGCTGGGTGTTTTTTTTTTTTCTTTAAAGCTAGTGTTCAAATACTTTAAACATCAAAGTCTTCCCTTCTACACATTATTCATTCTTGCAAACGTCTCATATCATGCAGTAGAATGATCAGAAAGGTATGACTCTTTAGATATGGTAAATCAATCTTGTGTCCTTTTGGAAAAGTGGTTGGGAATGATTTTATGGTTATTAACTTGAATTCAATATTTTTTTTTCAACCTAAGCTTTTTAAAATTCAAAAAACTTTCAAGCAACTTTTCAATCACCCTCTCCTCTTCTCACCTCTCCCCAAAAGTAAAATCTTACTTAATTTGTTTCATCAGGAAATTTACTGTGAAATTGTGAAAAATGAAATTTACTGTCTCTGACCTCGGTAGCTAAGCAGAACAGGATTGTAAATGCAGAAGCAACTGAAGTTTTCCTCTATATCAACATCTTTGTGCCAAGATGGAGTGTTCTGCAGTGACCAAGAGTCTATGTAAACAAAGGTAACTGTTGCAAGATCAGCATTGTACAAGAACAAGCGCAGTTTCAAGGAGAGCCACAGACAGTAGCAAGGTTTGGGTTTTTATGCTGCTGTTACCATTGCAGCCTGAGCTATTTGACAGCCCAGTAGCAGCCCAGAAGTGCCCCAAGGCAATAAACCATCTTTACTACATTAGGGGCGATGCCTATAACAGATGGCTATTTTAGAGTGCTGACAGTTTCTTTAGAGTCTTTACCTCTGGCTACTTAGCATCATCTTCATCTTCAGCCAGCTGTCCTTCATCCAGGTGTTTATTCTGGCTGAGCACAGTGATAGAAGAGAGGTGTAAAGAGTGTGATCAACTATAGACAGTCATTTGAATACATGGTATCTTGGTGTTTCTTTATAGCAGCTTCCTAATCCATCTTGGATGATATGAGTGAAAACATGAGCTCTATGGAGACGAGTAGGGGTAAAAATCAATAAGAGCGAGTAATAGCGAGAGAGAGAGAAACTGGATTTGTGATTTGGAATGGGATCCCGGCATTGCCTCTGGCTTGTTCTGTTGCTTTTGGAACAAGTTGCCAATGCCTTCCTATGTTCCCCATTTGTGCGATGGGTCAGCAATCAGAGCTGATTGGTATGGTTTCAGTAAAAGTATTTTCACTGGCATCCAGATGTTGCATATATTGATTTTGATCTAGTTTTCTTTTGGCAATATAAGCCTTTCTGAGGGAAGAAAAACTGGAACCTGACCCTTTGGGGAAGGAAACAGTGGCTTCAGCTCAACGCTGTTTGTGTGAAAATATTTCAAAGCTTTTTGGTTTTGTTCCAATGCAAAAAGAAAATACATTTTTTGACCTTGACATTTTTCCAAAAACACTACTGCCATCCTTCAGTCAGCTCTAATAGTATATCTTTTGTAACTTGCTTTGAGATCTCCAAATGAACAGTGGTCTATAAGAGCTAGATATTATTTGCAAGGTGTCACTAAGGTTTCAGCTATATGAGCATATTCTCATGTTCTTCTGTACACACCGTAGACTATTTTAAGCTGGCCACTTAAGAACATTTACTTAGCAGAAGGAAACAACTGTTTGACCTAAGTCAATCATGAATGAAATAACGTCTTTGAAAGAGCCCATTTAAAACTGCAAGGATGCGGAAAAAAAACCCAGCATCAAAACTTGGTAAACTCTCTGAGACAGTGGAAGGTGTTTTACAACTCTTGGGACAAACTATATGCTCACGTGTCCGAATCCAAACTGAATTCTTACAGCCAGCTTGTGAACTTGGAGTTTGTAATGGAAGTAGTGATCTAACAGATTCTTAACCATATCAAGACCAGCAGGTGTTGCTATAATATATTAAATGCTGTGGAGACATCTAATAAGCTGCACTTGAGCATTAGTTCAATACATTTTCTGAAACCAAATCAGCAATTTCTAGGACAATAAGCTGCACTTGAGCATTAGTTCAATACATTTTCTTAAACCAAACTGGTATTTTCTGGGATAATGTAATGCTATGACAGACTTGCAATAAGAATACTACTAAAATAATCAAAATACTGGAAAGTTGCTGGTTCTGAGCTGCTTCTGCTGAGCTGAGTGAGAGTTTTACTACTGCTTCAGTGAAGAACATCTGACCCTGCATTTAGGTATTACTTGTGTTTAAGAATACAGTACTGTAGGAAGTGACCAAATCCTGTACGTATTTCTATGTACATACTTCTTTGCGAGAGATGGCACTGCAGAAACCTGGGGCATCTTTTGCCAGGGATAAGATTAGATTGTGGTGGAACCCTAGTCTTAGGCTTGTTCTGCGCTGCTGATCCCTCCAACACAGGTTTCATTGGTGATCTCCAAAAGACAAGGGGAGAATTCCTCTGAGACAGAAATACGTCTTCTCAAACAAACTGCACCCTCAGGGGCCTTGCAGAAGGTGAACAACAGGAGGGTCAGAAGGCGGCCAGCAGTAGAGAGTTTATACCTCAGGAAACCCTGAGCAGACCTTGCCAAGCTACGGTAAATTCAGGGAGGTTGTAACTTCTGCTGGATTTTGAGCTTGAAAGCTCCTGAAATCAAGAAGGAAGGACGAAAGGAAAAAATTTTCCCATAACCAGGATTATATTATTGTATGCAACCCTCTAACTGAGATGGTATACAAAGGAGGATCACTGTGAAAATGAATGGAGAAGCTGCCAGCTGTAAGGGCATATTTCATGTCCATAGGTATCAAGCTTTGAGATCTTAGTAATTCTTGAGCAGTCACTGGATGTGTGTTTGAGAGTAAAGGTCTAGGCTGCTTTTCTCCACCTGTGTATGACTCTATGATAGGAAAGACACGGACCTGTTGGAGTAGGTCCAGAGAAGGGCCACAAAAATGATTAGACAGGCTAAGAGAGTTGAGGTTGTTCAGCCTGGAGAAGAGAAGGCTCCGGGGAGACCTTACTGTGGCCTTTCAGCACTTAAAGGGGGCCTATAAGAAAGATGGGGACAAACATTTTAATAGGGCCTGTAGTGCTAGGACAAGGGGTAATGGCTTTAAACTAAAAGAGGGTAGATTTAGACTGAATATGAGGAAGAATTTTTTTACAATGAGGGTGATGAAACACTGGCCCAGGTTCCCCAGAGAGGTGGTTGATGCCCCATCCCTGGAAACATTCAAGGTCAGGTTGGACAGGGCTCTGAGCAACCTGATCTAGTTGAAGATGTCCCTGCTTATTGCAGGGGGGTTGGACTAGATGGCCTTTAAATGTCCCTTCCAACCCAAACTATTCTATTATTCCATGTATGCTTGGCAAGAACTTCTCTTGCATGTGGACATGGACCCAGCCATGTCATTTCCAGGTAGGATCACTAGCCAATGTTGTACTTTGGCTGCTGGGAAGCCCACGGAGCCCTGTGCGTCACCAGCTCTCCCTCTTGCTGGGAGCAAGTCATCTTGTTTCAGCTTATTTCCAGCGGTGGGGCATCATATGACCTCCAGGGGCTGCACCCACAGACAAGGACAATCTTCGTCCCGGCCGTTCTCAGGAGCTGCCTGTAGCGATGCTTGGGCAGGATAAGGACCCTCTAGGTGGGCAATGGAGAGAAAATGGCCCCTGGTGTCTTCCGTGGGATAGAAGCACGCATCTCCCCTGCCTCGTTCACCCGTCCGTCGTGCCGAAATCCAGCGGCGAGTGCCGGGGCTGCACCGGGGAGCCCGGGGGGGCGGCGGCGGCGGCGGCGGTCCCCGGCAGTGCCGGGATGCGGGGCGGGGGTG